ACTGAACTCTTTGTATTTCTTTATTTGGAGCTTCATACATTTCATTTACTTAATATATTATTAATAATATCATAATATTCTATTCCATTAATATTTTATAATTTATTCAACTACTTTCAGCCTCTAACTTAAAGGCATCAAGGATATTTCTAGCTTTTCCAATAAGAAATAAAGTAGCTATAAATATTTTTGTACTTTTAAAATTTAACAATTTTTAGGATAATTTCTTAGCAAATGGAATCCTGATCTCAAAAGGCATGATTCATTTGGGACCCTCACTGAAAATTGTCAGAATGCCCTGAGAAATGTTTTTACTGGTTTAAATTCCCAATAACGAATTATGATATCTGTGATTCTATAGCACAGCCAACACTGAATTTCATATTTTTGCTGTCCACTATCTTTGCCATTCTAGTGGACTGTAGTAGTATCTTAAGGTTGTTTTGAGCAGTATCTTTCTGATTACTAAAGAGTTTGTGAATCTTTCACACCGTTATTAAAAATCTATATTTTCTCCTCTGAAAATTGCTAGTTCATATCCTTTAAAATAGTCATCTCCAATATGTGGATAGTAGCATTACTCCAATGAGCGCATAACAACCAGGAGATAGAGTAATGTATTATATTCCACCTTCATCCAATGGGGGGTGGAGTCTCTAACAGAACCACTTCACCTCTTCCTTCAGCTATGCAAGCTCCCATCACTTCCCTCTGAGGTGATAATTCCCTCAGGATAGTGATAACCTAGTCAGCTACTCTAGCACACTTAGCAGTAGATGTGCAAGTGACATTGGGAAAATTCTGTGCCAAATAAGTTTTGTGATTCCTTTTAGCCTTCTGATCTTTTATTTTTTAGGTGGAAGATCCTATTCCTATCCCTCTTTTCCCTCTCACCTCCTTCCCAATTAAAAAAAAGAAAAAGAAAGCCTCATAACAAATATGAATAGTTGAGAAAAGCAAATTCACACATTGGCCATAAACACAAATGTATGGTGGCGGTTAGGGTATTTCTTCAATTAGTATTCTGAAACTGTGGTTTGTTATTGAATTGATGAGAATTTTAAAGTTTTTCAAATGCAAAGACAAGAAGAGCTATCTTCACTTTGGGTTTACTTCCCGTGACTTGATGAAGTGAGTTATGTTACCAAATATTAAAACATGCAGATAACAGCTGTTGTGACCTTCAAATGAGATACTATATGTATAAGGTATTGTCCCTTTAAAAGGTAAAGCTTTTTCATATGGAATGGTTTGAGTTCTAAAAGAAACAGTTACTCTAACTCAGAGTCCTGAGATAGTTATTGGTAATTTTTAAGTGCGACAAGCTGTTTCATAGTGGAGAGAATCAGACATCAGAACTGCTAATGATTATGGAGCAAAGATAATTTATCTGAGTATAGACAGAAAAACAGAATTTGGTGACTAAATATAAGTTAAGGGGGGGTTGTTCAGAGAGGAACCAGAGTCTGAACCCAAAAAATTAAGAGAAAAAAGAGAGGGGGGTGGAGGCAAGGTGAAGGGACAAATTTTGAAGCTCCATCAGCCAAGTTTGAAGTTAACAGTTGTGGAAGCATAAGGCCAGCTGAGTAGAGGAAGAGCTTGGAAGCAGAGAATCATAGAAGTCAATCAGAAGATTGAACAGTTTGGCTGAGGAATTCTGCCCGGTGAAGTGTAAGTCAAGCACGCTGATCACTCAGTTTAACAGGGAAGTGTCTGTTGAATAAAAGCGCTACAATCATCAAGGAATTTTTATGGACAGTTCCTGACCTAGAAGGAAGACACTGAAATTTATAGTTCTAGAGTTGTGAGTCACCCTCACATGGGTATTCCTCACTCACGTTCTCCTTGGCAAGTTTCTGTGGGTGCCCACTCTGTCCACAGGTACTGAATGCATTGGTTTGAGAGTGTGACTCAGGTTTAGATGTGGATTGTGACATATTTTTCCTTCATTTGCCTAATTTATAAGCACCTGTAATGTACTTGTTTTGTACAAACAGAAGAACCTAAGTGGGGTCTCAAGACCTGAAATAGTTAATAAAGATCCTGAAAAAGTCTGAGTCCAATTATGCAGTTGTGGTCCTTCTCTGGGAATTTAGAATAGCCAGTGTGAGAGCACATTGGAGTAAACAAGTCAGCCCAGAGATTGAATTAGTTAGATGTCCAAAAGTGCCATATGTGGGGCAGCTAGGTGGCGCAGTGGATAGAGCACCAGCCAGTCAGGAGGACCTGAGCTCAAATCTTTCTTCAGATACTTGACACTTACTAGCTGTGTGATCCTGGGCAAGTCACTTAACCCCTTTGCCTAGCAAAAAAAAAAAAGTTCTATGTGAGAGATGAAGACATTACAGTGCAGGTGGCTACCCCAAACCCATTACACATGCAAAATGCTTTGCATGCAAAACTTAAAGTGGTATATAAATACAAGGTATTCTTATTTTTATTCTATTTAATTCTATTCCTACCTAGTTTACCTAACTCCTCTCCCCATTCTACAATGTCCTTTGGATGTCCCACTCTAGTCTTAAAAACTCTTGCATATCTTCAAATTTTTCAATCAATATTCTTTCCACCTTCCTGTCTTTAGCTGAAACCTGGCTTCTTTCCTCTTGATACTACAACCCTTATAAATATCTTTCACCAGAGGAACCCTCCTCCCAATTCCCACAATTCACCGGGCCAGGAACGATCTTAGTGTACTTCTTGCTTCTCTAAGTGTCATAACAGTTGACCCTCTTTTGAAGCTCATGCTGCTCAATTATACCCTCCTCCCCCCATAATAACTAATATTTATTCAATATTTTTAGGGTTTATGGAATTTTCCTTCTAATTATTCTGAGAAATGGGAAATTAAAATACTGTATCCAATTTAGAGATAAGGAGACATGCTCATAGAGGTGAAATGGTCTTCCTTGGTTTCCAGACTCCAAAGTACATTGCTTTTTCCAATACAGTACACACTGCCTCTTCTGAATTCCTTGTTGCTGTCATCGACAGTCCAATAAGTCATTCTACCAAATTTCTCAATGGTTAGTGACTGGATCATGGTTTTCTTCAATATCCTATCTTCTACCATCCTTGGGGACTAACACGCACCTACTTTTGCTACGTGCTCTTATGGACACACCTTAGACCTCGATGCTTCTCACAGTCCATTCATCCATCCATTCCAATTTTTACAAAGAACCTATCATAATAGGGGCTGAAGATACGAGGCAAAGCCAAAAACAGTTCCAGCCCTCTAGAAGTTTACAGTCTACTGGGGTGGAGCCAGAGATACACTTTGTATAACAATATGGTGGGTGAGGCCCTAACAACCAGGTGGTCTAGGAAAGGCCTATAGAAAGTTACACTTGAGCTGAGCTTTGAAGGAAGCCAGGAATTCTAAGAGGAGGCAGAGATAAAGAGGGAGTATATTCTAGACATGAAGGACACTGGCTAAGGCAAGAAGAATGGAGGCAGAATGTTGTGTTCAGAGAACAAACAATTAGTTTGGCTGGAATATAGAATGCTTGATGGAAAATGTGCACTAAGCCTGTAAGGCAAACTAAAGATAAATTATTAAGGCCTTTAAATATCAAAATGGGGAGTTTTGCTTTTATCTGAAAGGCAATGAATAGGGAAGTCGATGGAGCTTCTTGAGCAAGGGAGCAGTAACATGGTCGGACTTGTGCTTTAGGAATATCAATCAATTTGGAAACTGTGGAAGATACACTGGGAAGAGGAGAGCCTGGAGTCAGAAAGCCCAATTAGAACGGCAAAAGTCCAGGTGAGATGTGATGAGGGCTTTAACGAGGATGATAGCCATAAGTAGACAGAAGGGAAAGGATCTGAGAGATCTTCAACTTTTAAATTCCATTCTCCCACCTCCTATGGATATGCTCATCCCATTCCTACTAAATTTATCCTACACCCTTATTAAGACCTCTGGTGCTTGACCCATCCATTTCTTTCACTCCATCTCCTTCACTCTGGTCTCACTCGCCTCCAAACCCAGACTCTGCCCTGCAGCCTGCCATTTTAATATTTCACAAATGATGCTCCTAGAATGCCTTGTCGCACCTCATCAGTTTCTAACCCTCATCCATGGTCCTTCTCTCCTACTTTAGGGCCAATCAGCACTACTGAATAAAATCACCATTTTACAGCACATAATCTCATCAGGGGACAAAATCAAGAGCAAAAGCTGGGAGCTTCAAAGAGGTGAATTTAGGTTTGATGTCAGGAAAAATTTCTTAACAATAAGAACTATCCAAAAATGGAAGTGGATGTTACTTCAAGGGGTAGTGGCCTCTTCATTTTTGGAGAACAGAGGATCACAGATTTAGAGTTAGAAGGATCTCAGAGGCCCAGTCAGGTTAAGCAACCTACCCAAGGTCACAATAACTAGCATAAGTGGTAAGATTTGAACCCAGGTCTTCGGGACTTCAAAGTCAGTGCTCTTTCCACTGCACCACGATGCCAACCTGTATGATTACTTCACTGGTATTGTGTTAGGAATTTCTATTTAGGTATGTTTTGGACTAGATGACCAGTGAAGCTTTCCAACCCAAAATCTGTGAGGCTGTGGCTAAGTTCTTTATTTCACTGATGTTCAAGGTCATTGCTACAAGTTAAAAATGAACATCAATATTTGGCTTGCTAAGAGGAAAGCAAAGGCTTAGTATTCTCAAAACACACACACACAAAGAGTCTCCAATTTCATCTCATTTTGGGCTTCAGCAGTTTGTCTAAACAAGAAAAAGGAAGAGAATAAGAGCTAAACTCTAATGCTGGCATAATATGACAAAGTATACATCAAAATAAGAAACAACTTACTCTAGACAGACTTCAGACAATTTAATTACAGTAATTACGGTAATATAAGTAAGGGTCAAGCCTAAGATATTAGCAATAGTTTGTCTGGTTCATTCTGGTACCATTTTAGATATTTCAAATGGTTAAGAATAAAAAAATCCAGCGTGTTCAAAAACAGCTTTCCCTTCCCCACACTGATGACTTACATTTTCATGTTTCATATGCTTAAGTAATCGCAATTCCCTGTAAGTCCTTTTTGCATGGATGATGGACTGAAATGGTCTGGATAGCTTCTTCACTGCTACACGTAGTCCTGTTTTCTTGTCAAAAGCAGCACTGCAGGGGAGAAAATAACATTATTGTAAATGTTATAAATACAGGTTAAGAGAATTTACTTAAAATGCTTATTTCATTACTAATTAAATGGTTTAATTACAAAGATAGCATGAAAATTCTACTCATCTCAAAAAATAACATACAATATCCTATTTTGACATCCTGGTTCAAAATTTACCCCCCAAAATTCTAGAAATATTTACAGAAAACTTTTTTTTTAGCTATTTCAAAAACCACTGTTCTATCTCCAGTAATGAAATTCATGGCCTAATTGCTTCAAGAGAACTTCTCTAAATGAGTACAAACAGATCTCAGGGTATAGCCAGAGGCTTCCACACCTGGATGCTCTGAATCTCTTTCTTTGGCAAAGTGGGCAGTCTTCTAATCTTGAATGAATAAATGCAGCAATTAGAAATGCTTAAAGTTCATACTATATTTCTCAACAGAATATGTTTCACAGGAAAGACATCTTCCAAGGGAAGAGAGCCAGGACTAAGGATAGACAAGTCATGCAGTTTTCAAGGCTACAAAACTCAGGGGCTGGGAGTGGGGGGGCACAATGAGGTATACTTTTTTTTTAAACATTCCAGAAAGTCTGCTCTCCATGGTCCATAGCTATTTATTATGTGGTAAGTCAAGCTGAGCCTTTATTGTAAAAGGTACAAGGTCCCAGGAGGACAGTAATATATATAGTATAAAATTCTTCAAACTCATAGTTTGTCTAAGGTACACAAATGCCTTGTGTCAGCTCTATATCTGAGAGGAGCAGTTAAGAGTCTACCTTCACTGCTCCATTCAGATTCTCTTCCACTCAATCACCTTCATGGCAGCTAACATTTTTGCATCAGTCTCGAGACCTTCAAAATTCAAGACTGGTATAGAGCAGACCTGCACAACATATGGCCCGCCAAAGGATTTTGGGCAGCTGTCACGTAACTGCCACCTCAACTCCTTTGGCAGCCCCTATGTTGTGCAGGCCTGGCATAGAGGGTCATAAGACTAACAAAGCCCTAAGTTTACACATAAGAAAGATACTATAAATAGCTAAATAAAATGTGGTTAAGGAAAAAATTACTTAAGTTGGCAATATTCCAAGTAATGCCTAGCATATGAACACAAAGGAACTTCTTGAGAATGCAGTTTTGTAACCACCACAAATAATGCCAGAATATAATCAGATTCCACCATTTTTTTTTGGAGAATTTACACATTTAACAAAGGTCAAGTGGTCTGATTTAGGCAAAAGTAACTTGCAAAGATGTTTATGTAAAACTAACACAACTGTTCTTCCAATTAAATGTTAGATGTTCTGAACATTTTTGTCATCGAGTCATTATTAGGTTAACTAAATAATGTGTGACTAAATTAATAACCTACATATTAAGGGCCAGTAAATGAACCTTTACAGTTAAAATAGGAATTTTACTGTGCTAAACTCTTCTTGAAAAAATATCTACCTCTTAATTTTTAAATGCCACTTAGCAAATAATGTGACATATTCAAATCCTAGAAGTCTCTAAACACTTTCAACAAAAAAGGATTTAAAAGAGGTGGTATATTTTAACCTATACTTTTAAATGAGCACGTAACCACTGTATGAACTATGAAGGCCTTACTTGACAGGTATAGAACTGTTTTATTTTGCCTGTTCTTGTACTAGTGAGATAAGAATGGTTTCACATTTTAAAACAAAGTATATTTTAAGAAGCGTATTTAAAATGTAAAAATTATTCTAAGCTCAGAGGCCATACAAAACAGAAGGGTCAGGGACCCCTGCTTTAGACAAACCCCTGTCCCCTATTCACACCACTTTGCTTCCTGAACTGAAGACACACTGCAAAATGACTTTACAGAAGACAACTACAAAGTCACTGATTACACTTTTGATTTCCTCTCCAAATACTACATCTCTTGCTGTCAAAAGAATTTAAAGATAACCAGAGAAAAAATATGAAGCTGATTGGGGAAAAAATATGGGGGAAAAATACAACCCCAACAGATGATAGAAGCACAAGAAGACATGATGGGCGGCTACCATTGCTCCTGTAATCCTGGAACTTTTGTGCCCAGGACTTTTGAAGTATGATTCTCACAGAATCCAATAGTTCATCTTATTTAACAAAGGTATGTTTTGTGAATAAATAAGTCTACGAAGCAGGTCGTACCAAACACTGCATACAACCCAGAAATAAATCAGAGTTGATAGTTTAAACTGCTTCACTGAAGTGAGAAAATGAAATTATAAAATATTTAATTTTTAATGTGTGGTGAGCTATATACCACCAAGTGAACACAGACTAAAAAATGTCAGTCACCAGGAAGGCCAGGAAATAAAATTATTAGACCTCTAGGCAAGTAAGATTCCCTAACCAAGAGGTTCTCTAGGAAAAGCATCATCATGTGGTAGAAACAGTGCTAGATTGGGAGGCAGAGGACTGAGATTTTGCCTCTGTAACTTACTCTTACCTGAGTGACCCTGAATATGTAAGTTAGCACTGATGAAACGGGATGTCTAAGGCTCCTTCCGGGCCTAAATCTATTACTCCTATGATCCCTTTCAATGACTAAGTTACCTTTGATGGAGTCCAAAGCAGAATTGCTTGACACCAAATTCTAGTACATTGTGAAAATATAGTGTTTGCATGTAAATTAATATAATTTTAACCTCAAACAACTGGTTTTTCAGCATGAACAAAACTCCCCCCCAAAAAAGCTTAGATATGCACAGATGAATCTAAGCAAACACAGGAAAATGATTAACACAAGTCTAGAATATCTGTTGTACTTTATAAAATAAGTATTCTGTGATTTCAAATAAAAACCATTTCTTGTTCTTGGCATAATTTCTATGGCAACCCATTTCTATGACAAACTGATATTCCAAATTATACCATTTCATAACTACCAAAAATACCAATGCTAAATCTAAGTCTGATCACATCACTCCCCTACTCAATAAACTTCAATGGTTTCCTATTGCTTCTAGGATCAAATATAGGTCTTTTCTGATGAGCTTTTAAAGGCCTTCATAATCTGGCCCCAACTTAACTTTGCAATTTCATTAGCCATTACTCTCTTTCCTACCTCCACAATCTACCCACACTGGTCTTCTTACAGTTCCTCACACATGACACACCCATCTTGGTGTTGGCAATGGCTACCCCCCCCTCACCCAGACAAGACTGTCTTCCCACCTCACCTCTACTTAGAATCACTTTTTCCTTCAAAACTGTTTTCAAGCCATACCTTCTACGGGAAACATTCCTGATCTCTGTCCCCACTGCCCCATTTGTTTTAAACATATTAATTTATGTACATGTTGTTTGTTAATAAAGTGCAAGTTCCTTGAGGTCAAGGATTGTTTGATTTTTGCCTTTGTATCCCTCATCTGGCACAGTAAGTAGCACACAAGCTGGCATTTAATAAATGCTAGTTGACTGATTTAAGTTCCAAGTACAATTCTAATCAACATGGGAACTAGAAAATCAGTTATTGTTGGACTGCAATTGTGAATGAATCCAATCCGCATCTGAGCTCTGGACTGGAGCAGACCCACAGTTGCTCGGTCAATGAGAGCATAAAGACTACTGTCCAGTGCCCAGCAGACCTTTTCTCCAAATTCCTCTTAATTCAGAGAATTTGTTATCCCAAGCAGAAGGCCACCTAGGCCAAAACTTCCCTTCCTCTACCACCATCAGCCTGCTGTATCACCTCCATCCACCACAGCCCAATACTTTCTGTATTCCTATGGGGCTCTGCTCTTCACTGTCACTATGTCCTCTTGACCCCATTCTGTTGTGAGCAAATTGCCCTACTTAATAGACTTTCCCTCTAACACTTCTCCTACCTCTTTGCAATCACTTGTCACTCCCTCCCTCCAAAAAAAACCCCTCCAATAACACTGACTCTCTGGCCACCATCTCTAGCCTTAGATCTTCTCTCATCTCCCCTGCACCCCCAACATTTCCTTAACCACCCACACAGAGGCTTAGGAGAATGATTAAGCCTATTCCTTGCTCTTTACAGCCACTTCTAGACCCCTTCCCCTTTACCTCATCTAGATTTAGGATCCATTTCAGACCCTGCCAGCAGTTTACCAACCCCTAGATCATTTCCCTTCTTTCCTCAAGCTCATGTCTTTCTCTCTAGCCTAACCTGTTCCCTCATACTTGGGTCCCTCAATATACACATACAGGCATGCCCCTTTCAGATTATGCTGACTGAAGGGTTAAAGATAAATGTGAGACTTGCATACAAAACAACACTAATAAAGAAGGCAACTGAACTAGAGCAAAGACTGCCTTAATAACTTGTTTCCCAGATGCTCATTTGCACAAGACCAATAGGAAACCTTAAGAGTTAAAAAATGAGGGAACCCTGAAGTCCACAACAGTTGTGTGATTATTAGGCAAATGTCTGTTGTGTGGTTACAGTCTAGCCTGCTGAGATAAGGATCTGGTAAAAGAGCTGGCTGATCACTGCAAGATAAGAATGATCTCTCATTAAGGGGCCCCAAGCTTTAAACAGGAAGGTTGCCAAAGAAAAACCTCAGCACTAGTGGCAAAAGAGAGGCTGTACCTATTTATATTGTCACCAGCTGCCTGGGAAGTGAAAACCCTTAGAGGCCAGCTAAGGGTGCAGAACTAGGGAAGCTTCTGTGCCATACCCTGCCACCTCCACCCCCATCCCCTAAAGGGTCTCTGCAGTTTATGAAAAAAAATTCACCTGGCAGCAAGGAGGCCCAGCCCAGGAGATGCGTAAAGCAGCCCAGCCTAGCAAACAGCAGAGCCATCCTTCCAACATGGAAGCCACACCCATCAGTGAATTTTATAAGAATAGGGCCACTAAAGAGAAAGGTTTGAGAAGCTGGAAGTTCTAGAGGTGTGACCCTATAAGTCTACTTCACTTCCATGGTCTTTCAAATTTGTGCCTGCTTTCCTTGTGTGCATTTGGGGGAGAGGACACTCTAGGTTTATGGGTGGAGTCTTATATTTGTTGCT